ACGTATTTTTTGTCCAGAAAGGCAAACCATCTCCATCACTGTAACACTTTTTAGTAGATGTAAGGATTCAGCTTACAAGGAGAAACAACAGCTTGAAAGTTCTTAGTTCAACTTTCTTTGTTTCTGTAATACTCGCTAATAAATGAGGCAAAACGGGGTGGGGGTGGAGGTGGAAATAGCATGTGGGAAGCTCTCCTACATAGAGACTTTCATTCCCGAACTCTCTGCTTGAATGCTTTTACTATAAGCACAAACATAGTTCAGGTCACCAGGTCAGAAAGCTGGGTGCTGCCCGGAGCATGCTTGCTGAACATTAGTAACCTCTCAATTTTCAGATAGTCCCAAGAAATCCTTTCTCCGTCATCTTTCATTTTAACTTTTGCCTGCTGTCTGCTGAACTCTGACTACTGAGGTTTGAGTGGAAAAACCTACTTGAAATGGAAATTGCCTAGCATTGCTTTTCTGGTGGGACTGCCAAATCAGATCAGAATGATGTGGATTGCTTCCTATTAGTTTAAATTAATAGCAGGTACCAGCATTTGCTGTGATATCAGATCATGCAATGTACTTGAACAAAAGTTATGCAAGCCCTGGGATGGATTCTATTTTCATAGGAAGACAAAAGAAAAGAAAAGAAAAGAAAAGAAAGCTTCAGAAAATGGTACTTAATTATGTTATTGAGAACCATGGTTCTTTTTGTTTTTGTTTTTTTAGGACGATGCTTTGCAGTCCTGTAAACATTGAAGGGGTCAGGTCTATGGTGGAACAAATCCACTTGGCTTAAACCTTCAGGCAGTGTTGAGATTCTTTGCCAGAGAGGTGTGTGGTCTTCCACCCTCTTTTCAGAAAGAGTGGTGCACATATAAAAAGGTACCCCTGCCCGTACGGGCCAGTCTTGACAGACTCTAGGGTTGTGCGCCCATCTCACTCAAGAGGCCGGGGGCCAGCGCTGTCCGGAGACACTTCCGGGTCACGTGGCCAACGTGACATCGCTGCTCTGGCGAGCCAGAGCCGCACACGGAAACGCCGTTTACCTTCCCGCTAGTAAGCGGTCCCTATTTATCTACTTGCACCCGGAGGTGCTTTCGAACTGCTAGGTTGGCAGGCGCTGGGACCGAGCAGCGGGAGCACACCCCGCCACGGGGATTCGAACCGCCGACCTTTCGATCGGCAAGCCCTAGGCGCTGAGGCTTTTACCCACAGCGCCACCCGCGTCCCGATGGTGCACATATAGTGAGAGGCAAATAGGTTTACTTAGTCCAAGTGGAGACACTTGTTTGAACCATGCCTTTCTGCAAAAAAAGTAATATAATATATTCAGTTTAATAACAATGGGGTTCAACTCATTCAATGCTAGGGAGCTATTCACTATTGCAACAAGGTTTGTGAATTTCCCTTCCCCCCTTGTACAGACTTGTGAGCAAGCCCCATTGGAATAAGTAGAGCTTAGTTCTAAGGATCAGGGTGCAACACATTTGTTTTTATTTGTTATAACGGTATGTAGTTTTGTGTTCTTATACTGCAAACTAACCTGTGATCCTCAGATGAAGGGCAGGATAGAAATTAAATAAATAATGACCAAATCCTACTGAAAGCAAAAAAGACTTTACTGTTACCAAATTGTCCCATTGGTTGCATACAGAGCTGCATAGGAAATAGAATCATAGAATTGTAGAATTGGGAGGGACCACAAGGATCATCTAGTCCAACCCCCTGCAATGCAGGAATCATTTGCCCAACATGAGGCTCGAATTCACAACTCTGAGATTGAGAGTCTTGTGCTCTACCAATTGAGCTAGAATTGCTGTACTCTGGAAGTACACTTATTGAATTGTTGAAAAATAGACAAATCCCTCAGGCTAGCTTTACTCTGAACATGGGTGGCCATGACTACAAATTGGTGTCATTTAAGTGCATAGTGTATGCACTGTGTGAAGAAGAACACCAACCAGAACTATGCACAGTATTCTGTGAATAGGACTCATAACATAAGTAGAAAAGATTGTGGCAACTACAGTTTTTAAGTAAGTTTGCATACACCCTAACTTTGGCTGGGTTGAGACCCCTATATAGAACTGGACTCAGCAACTGATAACTCCCATTGGTAACAATAGTGATAGTTTCACACACCAGTCACCCCTGCAACTTGCTTGAAGTTAACTGTAGGCAGGTGGTGTTAATTCATGGGACGGTCTAAGAATAAGGATGACCTATCAAAGGAAATCTGTGCATTCCAAGAAGCATTCCAGGAGACATTTTGTGAATGGAAGAAGTTTATGCCAGAAATTGGCTTTTAAAGAACATAGATACTGTATAAGACAAGTGCAAGATTAGCATCTGTAGCTCCGTCGTCTCTACCCAAACCAGCAATCTGTTCTAGGCTACGAGCTGGGGAAAAGGTTTCAGGTTTTACTAGCCATCTGGTTTACCTATTGGTATACCAGTGGTAATAAATGACATCAGTATTTTCACAACCAAATGACATTGGTGGGATTCTATTACACCAGGGATATTTGGGTATATGAGCCCAAAGAGGTTTCTAGTTAACAAGGTTACTGGTATTGACTTTGCTGAGTTAATAACAGATGTAGCAACCAATGTATGAATTTCAGTTTTTCCACAACACTGGGAAAAATGAGAGCTTCTATCCATGCCCACCAGACTAATGAGTCTCAAGTGTTTTATTTCCATTGCAGACAAATTAAGGGAGAAGGAAGGGGGCTTACCATGCCTTAGGCTTTATGCCATCAGAAGCCTCAGCATATCAAACCAATAGGAAATTTATTTTTATTTTTGAGGTTTAACATTCCCTGTGTAGATGAGATCTTCAAAAGAGCTTAGTTCACCATTTAGGTATCTGCCTAAACATTAAGGGAAGAGTTTCCCCCTGTTGAGTTCTTTGAAAAGCTAGTCTTACTGCAGTCTCACAGCCCTTTTCAAGGGTGGTGAAGGTGAATTTACTTCAAAGACTGCTTTGAGCTTCAAACCTCCTGTGTGATATCTTTATAGTCTACTGCTTTAAAAATATACCATTTGTAGGTGAGTGAAATGGAAGGGAAGAATAGGGTATTGTGGCTCTTGATCCTTGCATTTGTTCATTTATTCTGCTATGCCAAAAGGGGCCAGAGCCATTAGGTTGTTGCTTAATGCCTCCTTAAAGAATGGCTATCATGTGAGTCATCTGTGGGTCCTTTTGATTGAAGGTAATTATGAGCCATTCAGAAATATATATTTTTGGGAACACTGTTGAATCTGCTGTGGCCTTTGTAACCATTGATCCTCTCTGTCTGACAGAGTTGGAGTTGGAGGAATTCCTACTTTTTGAGAAGACTCCAGAAGGTGGTGGTGGTAGCTTGCTGCTGTATTTTCCCATAGGGCGCTACACAGTTCTATGCTGACTCCTATCCTTTTCAACATTTATGTGAAGCCACCAAGAGAGGTATCTGGAAGGCATGGCATTCAGTGCAATCAATGTGTGGTTGTCACACACTTGCTTCCCTCCTTTCTGTCACATACAACTGAGGTGACTTACTGCATATCACTGATGAGTTGGATGGGGGCCAATAAATTGAAGCCGATTAAAGATAAAACGGGTAATGATGGTAGGAAAATCTCTTGTTCAGGATAGTGGATAGTGCCATTATATAGTTTAACCACTAGATGGCAATCTAATTAGTTGTATCTGCATGGAGTCAGGAGGAGCTGAGATGTTAAATACCTTGCTTGGCTTTGTGACCTCTTCCATGAGAGGTGAATAGCTATTCTGTTTCTTCTCTTTAGTTGAAGGGACTTTGCCACTGCTGTACTTGCCTTGGTGACTTTTGTATTAGATTATTGCAATGCACTCTGCATGATATGGCTCTGAAGACTGCCAGGAAACTACTGCTAGCCCAGAAAGACTAGTGTGGGCAGGAGGGAACATATTACAACTGCTTTTAAACATCAGCACTCCGAAAAAGGTCGCTTACAAGTGCAATTCAGCATGATAGTGAGAGAGAACCATGGCTAGTCATAGAATACAAATCTGGACTAGATGAATCGGTGTTCCGACACAGTAGAAGAAGGCCTCATCTCATATACTTCTATTAACAACTAAATAAATTTTAAACTGTTTTGGAAGCATAGCTGAGAAGAGATCTAGAAATGTAATACAAACATATACACCTACATAATGCATAACATAAATAGTGTGCCTGAAGAAAATATTAGGGCCGCCACAATGAATCATAAGAGTAATTAATATAATGCAAAATATTTTATACATTCTATATAAACATTATAATTATTTATTGCCCATATAAAATGAAAGCATCATCCATGCAACTAATAAAATCATCCACAACTGAGTTATGAGACTATTTCTGGCTATGATAGATGGGATATATTCCCTCATAAACCTGAATCAACGTTCCCAAACTTCTACCTACCGTTATTGAAAGGCTCAACCAAAACAGAATAAAATATAAAAATATGTAATATTATGGGAAAACTGCAGCAGGGCTTGAAAAACATCTAATACCAGTTTCCTCAAATGTTGCTGCTAGCACTTAGAATGTGTGTGTGCGCATGTGTGTGTGTGTGTGTGTGTGTGCGTGCGTGTCACACACACACACTGTTCTGTGAAGGCTTAGTAGCTAAGATTGTGGGGGGAAAGCTATCAAAACATCCTAGAGCAAAGAATTGAAAGCCTAGATGTAACTTAAATGACTCATCTAATCAATTTAACAATATGAGGGGAAAGAAATATAAGTTGTAGCTGGCTCTAAATTTGAGAAATAATGGATCCTCTTAAATAATCAGGTGTCTTCTTCCATTATTATTGTTATTATTATTATTATTATTATTACTACTACTAAGGTTTGCAGTGGTTTGGCCCATTAATCAGCCCACCAGGATTTGCCTCTAAAAGAAAGAAAGCAAAAAGCAGACTGAGAGGAGGACAATGTGAAAGTAAGCTGAAAGAGGGAGGGAGAAGCTTTGACTCACCTGTGCTTCCTCAGCAGCCAGGGAAGAGAGCAGCAAGCCCCAAAGGCGAGAGAGCAGAAGAAGCTGCAGCAGAAGCCCTGCCGAGCCCAGACTGCCACAACTGGTGGAGGTCTCCCATACCAGAAGCCAAGACAAACAACTGGGGGAAGCAACTTCCAGAGAGGTATTCCAAACAGGGAAGACTACAAAACCTGAACATCTTTCCAGTTGGCACCCTCGGGTGAGGCCTGAGAATCCAAAACAAGGTCAGCCACCATTTGGACTTCAAAGTGCCCCAGGGATGGAGAGAGTCCCCTGTGAGGGTTTAGTTCTCCCCCTGCCCTTTGCAGCTAGGAGCTGATGACAAACCGGACAATAAGAAAACAGTGAAAACTCAAGACTGTGTTGAATAGTTGGACATAAACTCTTTCACGCCTGTGTCCAGATAAACTTTTATCTGGATAATTATGTTTACAATATAATGGAGAGAAACTTGGTATGACCCGAAGTTGTGAAAGACAAAATGTGGTCCAATGAATAGTGTTAGACTTGGGTGTGAATATGTGAGTTTTAGTCAAGCTAGTGTCCATTGAGTGCCTTTGAGTTACTGTAGCTGTTCTAGGCCTCAGGGATTTAATCAGGATTTAATTTATAGTGTTATACTTCTATTACCAGAAAAGAGAAGCTTCTAGTGCTTGCCTAATGTATTGTCTCCACCATCTCCACAAACAGATTTGTAGTCTTTTTCTTGGCATAAAGAGGCTAGCATAGAAGGAACTTAGTTCTTCGGGGCCTGAAGCCGTTTCTTGAAACTTGTGTGTTTACTTGTCTGTGAGTGGAAACTATAATTGCCTTTGTTGGCTTCTGTTCCACTGAAAAATTCCCATGTATATTAAATGCTCGCAGTCTGATAGCTCATGCCAAAGAGCATTTTGTACCCCAATCCTAAGCCTCGTGTATGAAAGTAACTTCCACTGAATGTTGGCCTTAGACCAGGGGTCAGCAACCTTTTTCAGCCATCATCCCTCAGACCATGTGGTGGGCCGGACTGTATTTTTTTTGGGGGGGGGGGAAATGAACAAATTCCTATGCCCCACAAATAACCCAGAGATGCATTTTAAATAAAAGCACACATTCTACTCATGTAAAAACAGGCTGATTCCCAGACCGTCCACAGGCTAGATTGAGAAGGCAATTGGGCCACATTCGGCCCCTGGGCCTTAGGTTGCCTACCCCTCCCTTAGACATTCTGACAAGATAGGTTTCATCAACTTGGTGCTCTTTAGATGGCTTGGGCTGCAACTCCCTTCATTCATGAGTATTGGCAATGCTGGTTGGAGCAGATAGGAGTTGTAGTGCAAAACTCTGGGAGGCACCAGGTTGGGAGAGGTTGTTCTAAAAGTTAGTAGCAGGCCCACCCTTTGGGGGGCATAAACTTCAGTTTTAAATAACATTGGGGGTAGGGAAATGCTGGTCACTCTCTAATCTGGTGTCTGAAGCCACTTTGCCATGCCTCATATAATAGGGCATCCTTGGATTCCACTGAATGAAGTCGATATACTTCATAGTTAGAGCTTGTTCTTTCTTCATGTTTTTAATCCTTGCGAACGTTGGAATGATTTGTGGGCATTGACATGAAAAATCCACATCAATGTAGCAGGGAGATTATTTGGGTAGGGTATAGGGATGCTTAGTAAATTCCCCCCATTTGAATTTCTCTGTATATTTTGGGGTGCTGAATAATCTGATCTTGTTTGCAGAGTGGCACTGACACATTAGCGATTTGCAGTTGTTCTCTCTCTCTTGTTTTATTTCTGTACCTTGTCTAAGTATGCTGTGCATCTGCAGTTTGCTTCAGTCTTCAGCCACATGTCTCCCCATCGTTATTGATTATCAAAGTACACAAGCACATATGTGCATTAATTAAAAACTGAACCAAAAGGGAGTCTTGGTATGACTGCATGGGGACTGTAAAGTGCAACAAACTGGGAATGTACCAATTCCAAAATTGATTTTAGAAATTCTCCAAGTTAAAATAGGAAGGCAGGTGGAGTGGAACATGAGCCAGATCCAACCCACAAAACAATAACAGAAGGGGACATCTGCTCATCCATAATGGGATACTAGATTTCTGTCAGCTCCTGCTCACAGATATTGTCTGCAAAATTCACATGCCTTTTTATTCCAATGGTAACACTTTCCATATGGGGAATTGCTTCAGTGAACTCTCACTAAGAATACAACTTGTGCTGCAACCAGCCCAATATGAGTTTTTGCAGTAAAAGCAAGAGAAAAAGCTTTTTATTGGACAGTACCATTTCAGGTGAGAAAAAGTGTGTCTGTGTGTGTGTCTGTGTGTGTGTTATGTAAAAATATTCTTCCATTAAAAGTTTTCTGTGTCTGAGGGAAAGGGGAGGGGGAAGCACAAAAAATGAGATCAAATATTCTTGTTCAGATCCTCCTTGGCATTCCTGCCTTTAGTGTAGATGAGTTTGCTGCATCCCCTCACTCCTCACTCGGGCTGGGCAATATATTGATATATTGTCCAAAATCGGTTTGAAGTCAATATTGTGATATTCGTTTCATAATTTTTGACCTGGCAATATATTGTGAATCTATCTCTCTCTCTCTCTCTCTCTCTCTCTCTCTCTCTCTCTCTCTCTCTCTCTGTGTGTGTGTGTGTGTGAGAGAGAGAGAGAGAGAGAGAGAGAGAGACCAGGCGTCTCTTGTTTCCTGCAGCCCCTGTTAACTCTGCCTGCCCAGCTCTCCCCTGCTTCATGCAGGGGACAGTGAAGCACAAAAGCAGGGGCTGGCAAAAATCACAGTGCAGGAAAAACCATGAAGCAAGCACAATACCAAATCAAACACATCTTTAAGAAAAATACACTAAGGATGAACCCTACAAGAGAAGTATTAAATATTATTGGATTCTGGGTAATACAGGAAACTGGTTCTGTTCATGGAGCAATTGGGATTATATTTGCCCTTCTGTGATTTTAACACAGATATTGATGATTAACTTCTACCAGACACAGTATTTCTTATGTAAATATTCAAATGCAATCATGGCTGATTAGACAACTCAAACGTTCCTCCCTTAGTTTAGCCTTTGTTTTCATTCAAACATTACATAAGGTATCCTTGATAACACCAGTGTCATGCAGCCTTGCTTTCCTTTTATGCCATCTTTAAATTATGCTCGATAGTTAGAGGCCATCTTTAGTTAGAGCAGTTTTTAGAGGTTAATCCAAGCTAAGGTAATTTAAATATTGGCAGAGAGCTGTAGACCAGGCGTCCATAAAACCCCTGTACAAAGTGAAGAAATTGATTTTCTTTTTGCTAATAAAAACAAACAGTTGTGTCTCCCATATGGTATCCTCTTGTAAAATATTTACATCTGAAAGGCACCCAGATCCTTACTGAGGACTGCAACTTAAACCATGTTGGTAAGAAGGAAGAGGGCAATAAGAAAGGCTCTTAGCCCAGCTTCTGGATCCCCCTCCCTTTTCATGTTGCATATAAAGCAGGGGCTATGGGCCACCTTCTGCTCCCACAATAAAGGCAAGTAATCTTTCCTAGTTTATGCAGGCTTGAAAATAATAGTATCTGATTAATATTTTTAAAAATAATAAAAATAAAGCAGTTGTCAGCAAGCACTGTTACGTGAAGCTTGAGATTTTAATTCTACAGAGCTTGCCTGCTTTCATGACAAGTGTTGTTTTGCCCCTATGAGTATGGCAGGGGAAGTATTTGACCCCCACCCTGTTTTCAGTGGTGTCATGGAAATTTTTGAAGTGCAGGTGCTGTCCCAACAGCTCCCACAACCCTGCTACCAAGGGTGGGCAAAAATGCAGGGAGCTGTGTTAATTGTGCGTGCTTATATCTATATGATCAGAAGGTCGGCAGTTCGAATCCCCACAATGAGGTGAGCTCCCGTTGCTTGGTCCCAGCTCCTGCCAACCTAGCAGTTTGAAAGCACGCCAAAAGTGCAAGTAGATAAATAGGTACCGCTCCGGCAGGAAGGTAAACGACATTTCTGTGAGCTGCTCTGGTTTTGCCAGAAGCGACTTAGTCATGCTGGCCACATGACCCGGAAAAACTGCAGACAAATGTTGGCTCCCTCAGCCGGTAAAGCGAGATGAGCGCCGCAACCCCAGAGTCGTTTGCGACTGGACTTAACTGTCAGGGGTCCTTTACCTTTTTTTATATCTATATGACACACACACACACAGAGAGAGAGAGAGAGAGAGAGACAGAGAGAGAGAGAGAGAGAGAGTCTGTAGAAGTAGTAGTATATAGCATAATGTCCAATTTATCAGGACCTGCTGATTGCCCTTGTATAGTGAGCTTGCCTTCTTCTCTGACTGCCTCCATACTAATCTGCCACAAACAATTGTAAAACTTGAAAGCCTTATTATCAGCTCATTTGGTTGCCAAGGTCCGCCACTGGCACTCTAGCAGATGATGTCATTGCTCCTATTTTGAAAAAAGTCCCACCGCTGTCTGTTTTGCCTCAAATTGTCCTACATCTTCTGGTCACATTCATGCAGGCTAAAATAATGTATCATGCCAAACCTTAGTTTATTAAGCTTGGCAGTATATCCAGGTTGACAAACAGTAGCTTGTGACTGGCAGGCACACCAGAATAAAAAGCATGTTTGGTGTGATGTCTCAGTTGACACACCTTGGTTACAACTGTTACTTCCTCTCTGAAGACTGCCACAGCATAGAGACAGGAATGGATGGAAAACGTAAAATCCACAATGAGCTATCACTGCTAGTTCCTTAAACAGGGCTGGCTCAGCACTCTAATCTATCCATAGCCCAGCTCTGACTGGTTGGTTCCCTATATATAGTAAATCCCAGTACGGGCAGTAAAAACATTACTTTTATATGGGAAATGATTAACAAGACTAATTTACATCTGTTTCATCTGAATTCTGTTTCAAACCACCTGCAGTTCCCTCCCTATGTCTTCTTGAACCCAGTACTTCGGCAGCAGCTGATTCAGACTCAGGAAGAAAACCATGCCCTTCTACCATAAGCTGGCCCCATTTTCAAGGAGAGTCAGAATGACATCCTTGGATACAGCTTAAGCAGCAGTAGTGTAACCCATAGCCAGATACATGCTTGGGAACAAAGACAATCATGCCCTCAATATCACCGTTCTGTTATTATTGACATCACATAATTTGACACAGGTCGCTGGTCCTGGTCTAGGTCCAGCGAATATTGCATTAGCTGGCCTTGATGCTGAACGAGGTCT